ATTGATAAGAGAAACAAAACTAAAATGAACTCAACCATGGCCCACATTGACAGAAGCAACAAACTTCCCTCTTCATAAACAATGACCATTTTAACATGCAATCCATCGATGAGAGCCTTACTCCTTTAGCATCATCCTCTCTGTTCTCAGTAACTTCAAATCTTAAACTCATACCATCAAAACCTTTCAACATTATCACATTCTGTTGTTTTCAGCTAAAATCTACACAAAAATGGTAAAGGATTTCCTGTTCTACACTTTTCTATTAGCTTTTCCACAAGAACAGAAGAACACTTGTTCAATATCTCTATGAACAAACAGAAAAAGCACAGAAATTGAAAAGGAAAAGAGAGAGTAGAGAGTATACCATACGGCGAGAACTGGAATTGGGAAGAAAAACCTTGAAGAACTCAAGGCTGGAAAGGATTCTGCTGCTTGGATCCCTCAGTTCCACTAAACTTTTGGCCATCCCCAACGAAAAATCCTTAAACCCAAATCAAAAAACAGGAGTTTTGGTTTGATTATCGGAACCCCAGATATGAAGTTGCAAGAACAGCGCAGTTTTGGTCAGTGGGCCATTTTGATTTTGTGAATAGAAGGCAATTGACTGTTTCACTCCCGCCCACATTCCCAGAAGGGTTTCCCAAGTGTTTCTCTGTTTTGTTAGACAACTTAAGTGAGCTTCATAAACAGACCCTTTAAAGGAAACTCTTTGGAAACTAAAACAAGAAATGAAAAGGGTATTAAAACAAGAAATTTGGAAACAATCTTTAAGTTTGGTTTGATGATATGCTTTATTCACTTACCCACCTAACAAAGATTCTTTAAGACTTGCGTATCCAAGAGATATATATTACATAAACCTGATCCTGTCATTTTTTTTAACGTTTTTATATATTTTTAAGAAGTTTGTTATTATTTAATCTGTTAAATTAGAGAGAGGAAAATTTACTGTCACCTTTCATAATTTTTATTTTGTTTTCCCCTTTCATAATCGTTTACGATTAGAGGGATTTTATTTTCGTGTACGTTTAGAGAGAGAAACGAAATAAAATATTCCTTACAAATATGTGAAAACCTCTTTTCAGAGACGCGTTGTAAAACCGTGAGACTGACAATAATATGTAATGGACTAAAAAAATAGTGGACTTACGGTTACAAATGGATTCAGAATAAGACACATTGCAGAAGAACAAATCATTCCTTACAAAGGTGTGGAAACCTCTACCTAGCAACACATTTTAAAATAATGAGGACACAGACCAGAGCGGTGGACTTCACTCGTTCACCAACACCATATTAACTTGTTTTGCATCTTTCCATATCTTTCAACGGAAGATTCTTTACCATTTACCATTTGAAATATACTGTGAACATCCACAATTATTGTAATCCTTGTTGTGAGAAGTTCTAGCATCATTGTTCTGTTCTTCATCCAATGGTGACTTGCTCTTTCTTTTGATGGTTTAACATAGAATTATGAACATTAAATAATCAAGATTTTGTCACCTACCAAAGAGTGCTATACTTCACTCCAAAATCATGTACTGGACTATTGTTGTAGCTATTTCTAATGACCAACAATTTTGTAATTCTATAACTTAATTCATGAGGCGCAGAACACGTCGATTATTAACTCAAAATGAAGACGAAAACGACATTGCAATTTGCAAGGATGGCAAGGATTTAAACTTAGGATCTCATGTTGTATAATAAATCACCATCAAATTTCACAATGGTTAGATCGGTCACAAAAGAGAGAAGGATTTGTACAATGAAAGTATGGTTCTGCTGTATGCATTGTTCAACGCAGAGAACGACGGCGGTGAGTAACTTTGACATTCAATTGTCTGCATAAGTTTCCCTTTTCGAGAACAAACTCAAATTCACATTTGTCATTTACTCTCAACCCATTGCCCTTGTAAAATGCAGACCACCCAGCATTAACAACAAGACGGTTCTGGCTGATGGAACACACTTTTGCTGGCCACAACTTCCCCTCTTCATCTCTAAGAACTGTGTTTGGCTTCAACTTGATGTTCTGGTCCCTCACCACCCGTCCAGAAATATACTGCAATTCAATTCAAAACCACTGTAACTTTCAGACAAGACAAGCCTTCCGTTGCCTGTAATCTCAATACTGCACATTTGTAGACTATGTTTTCGAAATAGAATCTAACTTATCAGCTTTAACTTTCGAGTTTAGTAGTGATTTTTCGTCTGAAGTCAAAATCCTTGTCGTGTCATTTACTCATGATTTCTTATGGATAGCACATGTTGGGCCTCGTGGATAGAATTGAAGTTCGAAGTTATACAAAGGTCACATTAAAAACAAAGTATGAGAAACTCAACACTCAATGCAACATCCAACCCATTTTCACCTATGACAGGGGTACTAGCACCTGCTTACTAAATAATGACTCGTTAAGAAGAATCAAGCTTCATTTATTCAACAAAGGCATCAAGATATTTCAAGTGAGCTTCAAATATTCTTAGATGATTACAACTTTATCATAGGTAATTGAAAACTAGATTTATGATGTCATTAATGTATTTTAAGTAATCTTACTTTCACTTGAGTGAAACAATATTACTATAATCAAAAGTTCTTGACAAGAAAAGAAGTTTGGAGAGTAATACTCACAACTTTCTTGTGCGACCAGTGTTTCATCGTTCGCTCGAAGGAAGGTCCTTTAGGGGCAACATACTCTACAATGTTCGAGGCATTACCAGGTCTTCCACGAGTTGGAACCCTTCTTGGTTTGTGAACTATCCCTACAAGCACAGTTGAGAGGTTTCTAAATCAGACCAAGTTGTCATATATGAAAGAAGGGATTGAAAAAATAAATGTCATCTCCAAACCTCATCATATCTTGATTCATGTGTTTTATTTTTTACTTTTGTAAGAGGAACAGAACATGTCTCACGACCATATTGCATAACAGTTTCATTAAAGTTTTGAAAAGTGAGAAACATAACAAAAGAAACTTTATTTGTTTTTCAAATTTTGGATATGACTTTGTTACATGTTTCAAAAAACGAGAAACTAGATAAAGAAGACATGACCAAAAGCACTAGTTTTCTCAAAACAGAAAAATATAACCATGTAACAAGAAGAAACCAAAACACTACAAACCAGGATCTAAGTTGAGTGGGGCAAACCGAGAAGTACTCACCTGATCCAACTGGTAATCGTTTCCTCTTGCCAGAAATTAAAGGCTTGACCTCTTCTTTCTCATCCACAGCCTCTACTTTGACCTTCAAAATTGGAAGAGACTTACCGGCTATTGCTAACACTGAATCTAAAATTGGAACAGAATTATCGGCTTCTGCAACCACTGCCTTCTTGCATCCATTTTTACCAAATATTTTGACATCAAACGTAAAACCCCCATCATATCCAAATACTAAAAAGTCTCCATACTTCAAACAATGGTAATCCACAAAAGCCTGCCAGCCATTCTTGAAAAACACAAGTCCATCCACTTTTTCCAATGTAACGCACCATGATTTTCCTGTATGATCTCTGATGGTAGCTTTTATTGGAAAGGTTCCATGTAAATGCTTCTGAAAAGCTGGTGGTATGCTCTGAATATAAGAGATGAGGAATGAAATTTGTGCGAACAGATGACAAAACAAAGCAAAACAAATCACTTCACACACACACAACATATCGTTCATGTCATTTATTTAATATTAGCTTGTTTTTAAAACTAATCAACGCCGTCATACTTTAGGATAATCAAACATTTATATCAGCATATGACTTTTTTTTTTCTTCTTCTTCTGGTCCACAAAGATCAAAACCCTTCCCACAAAAATATAATCAATGAGTTATATAAAGTCTAAAATTCTCTACAATTTCAATATGTGATTAGGAAAAAAAAAATCGACATGTTGACCCAGTATGACTAGAACTAAATGGTTGACTCAAGCATAAAGAACAGAGAGAAGAATTAAATAGTAAGTGAAGTTTTCATACTATATTGCATGCATGTTCAATGCAGAATTCAAAAAAGGTCAATGACTCAAAATAGAGCAATCCCAATTGTTCTTTTCCCCAATTTATAATAAGAAACAGGGTAATTTGTCCAAATCCCACGAATCAACCAAATAATGAAAAAAAAAAAAAAAAGGCACCGAAGATTTCTCGCACTCAAGTTCCACAGAACTCAAATTGGCTCGAAATCTCAGCGTTTCCTAAATACAAACTCAAAATCGTAAGAACATCAGGACGAAGGAAAATAAAGAGGGAAAAAAAGGAGCCCCATAAATTTTGAAGTTAGGGCACAATACGTATGATTAACCAGAGGAAATACAGAGAGGAGAAAGAATTACCATGTGCAGAGAGCCGGAATCGGGAAGAAACACCTTGAAGAACTCAAGGCTAGAAGCGGTTTCGATGCTGGGGTTCATTATTCTCGCGCAAAGAATAACGAACCTGCAAAAGAAAGCTTGAAATCAATGTCGAATCCGAAAAAAAAAATACGAAGAATAGAGGAGCGATTCTGACACTGATCTGCAAAAGAAAGCTTGAAATCATTAGATGAAGAAGAACGGAATAAAGAGAAAAAAAAAATTGGTACTTCGAGTGTTAGATGGATACGTGACACCACATGCATGCAAGTTCCGGCTTGCTGAAGGTGTGGCGAATTTTTATAGGGTTTCGGGACATATATATAATTTTATATATATTATATATTTTTTCAAATTACATATATACTTTTTGAATTATGAAATCTTCCCGCTATTGATAAAAAAAAAATTAATTAATTAATTATTAACCAAAAAAAAACGGTCACAATTATTTTATATGATTAGATAGAGAATTTATCAAACAAATTAACTTTTGAATTCGAGGTAGAACTAAAATTAAACTTAGGACGGGTGTTTGTATAAAAGAAAATTACAAATTTAATCTCTTAACTATGAATTTTTGTATAGTAATCAACATCTAAAAGATGGAAAGATAAGCACCATCTTCAAAAAAAAGTCGTCATATTCATAAAGTATTGGATGGTCGATGTTAGTGAATAAGGCCTAAAAAGTTTGAAATTTGAGTCAAAGCCAACCTTCTAAACAAAAAAAGACAGACCATTAACATTACATTCTATCTAGTCCATTGAAGCAGAGCTGGAAACATGTTTGAAAATGGTGACTTTAAAAACACAGTTTTTTGTGTCCACCATCTCAAACAAGCATGAATCTCCATCTTCCAAGCCGTTGTCTCCATAAAATAAGCACCACCCAGCTGATAATCTGACAGAGCTACCATATTGTCTCAATGCCACAATCCATTGTCTATTCCCAACTTGAAGCTTTGCAGAGCGCATGTCTGATGAAAAATGCTCCTTTGCAAACACCATAGGAATGTTCTGCCAATCAACAACATAAAATGGTTTCAACTATGTTTTGAACTGAAAATAAAACATGGGGTTTTGTTTTTTTGTTAGTTACCAGAACAAATTTCTTGTGGCGTCTGTTCAGAATGTTCGCCTCAAAACAGGGGTTTCTGGTCTTTGTTGCAGGGGAAGGAAAGGGAGAGGTGTCTTGTAATTTGGTGAATGAAAATATGTCTTTCTTAATCAATTGAAACAACCCAATATCCCCTTCTTTCAATACATTTTCCTCTACAAAACGCTTCCACCCACTTGAAAAGTACACGAAGTTCTCTTGATTTCGTCTGCGTTTATACAAAAGTGGCCACTTTCTACCGTTTGGGGTTTGGAGTTTGATGATTCCAAAGTCATCAGGTAAGTGTTTCTCTGCAAAATCTTTGGGGATAATCTACAAGAACCAAAAAGCTTCAATCTTTTCAGCTGAATTGAAGAAAGGAGGTGTTTTTTTACGTGGGTTTGCAGACGAAAGTGCTTACCATGGCGAATTTTCCTCGCACGTTTGGTTGTTTCATCACAATTTTAAAGCTAGGCTTCTCTGATTTTGAGGTGAATCTTTGAGCTGCTTCAAGTTTGTTTACAAATTGTTGCCTTCTACTTGATACCCCTGCTTCAGTTTTTGGCATGTTCTTCATGATTAGGCATCCTTCTGCATAGATTGGGCATTAACAACACTTATTTGAAGCTGTAAGCTCTATATACTCAAAATGTTCATACCTTCTTCAGCTTTCATTTTCTTACGAGATTGAGGAGGAGATGGAACTGAAGGCTTGTTCTTCCTCTTACTTAAACGCTGGGAGGAACTCTCTGTATTTTCATCAGAATCTTCATCTTCCATTGTAAATTCTGCTCTAGAATCGTTAAGAATGCAACAATATTCTGTTTCCACTCCACTTGGGTCGAATATGGATGTTTGAAAAGTTGAAAACCCATCTGATTTAAATACCAATAAAGAACCAAACTCTAAGCTATAATGCTCTGCAAATTTGTGCCACCCATTTTGCAGCCAAACAACGCCGTTGGGAGCCGTCGTCAAACCGACCTTCCATTCCATGCCGTCCGGGAGCTTGAGACGTACGGAAGTGGACAAAAGTTCGCCATGATCTTTGACGAACTTCTTCGGAATCATCTGGAAAACAAGATACGTGAAAAAAAAAATTAAAAAGAAAAACAAAAAAAAGGGTTTGTTTTTACTAGTTTTCGGTCTTCGAGATTGTTGTGTAAAACGATTCTGAAGAACTGAGGGGAGGAAGCCGCCATTGTTGGAGTAAGGTGGTGCAGACAGTGAAAATGGGGAAGACGATGATGGTGAAAAGTGACGGTGGGAGTTCAGATACGTATCGAAGTTGCGATTTTCGAAGAATTTATGGTTGTGGTTGATGGAGACTTTTCGACTTCCTTCCTTTTTCCTCTTCCTCACCCTCCTTTCGTTCACCCATTTCTGCCACCATTTTCCATTTTCCAAGCAATGAATCGGGCCCAGACCTCCCAGTCCCTGAGATGGATGGATCAACGCTTACAACTTTTGTCCAACCTCATTCAGGCCCATCCTGTTTTGTCCAACCTCACCGTCCTTCTTCCCTCGAACAAAGTCTTACTATACTTTAGGAGGCTTCACTCATTTTCTTTTGAAGTTCAAAAGTCCTTTGTTCGACAGTTGAGGATGAAGATTTACCAATATATTGATATGACTCTAATACCATGATAGACGAACACGACTCTTTACAGTGGCATGATATTGTCCACTTTGAGCATAAGCTCTCGTGGCTTTACTTTGTGCTTTCCCAAAAGACCTCACTGAGAGAGTATTTATTCATTCTCTAAATTAGCTTATGTGGGACTTTTATCATCCAACAGTTTAATTCATATTATATTATATATGTTATCGTCGCGTAAGAAATTTTGAATATACGATGATTACCAATATTTTTAAAAGGTTTTTTTTTCTTCTACAATCACATATTTGTAATATTTATGAAATATCAATAATAACATTACACCGATATATTTAGCTTTAATTCCATTAAATTTCACATTATTTTGTTCACGGAACAAAATAAAAATAAAATTCTAATTTAAAAATAAAAGGTAAGTATTAATATTTAGAGATAGAAGTAAAAAAAAAAAAACCAATATTAAAGGTAAGAATTTGATCATGAGTTCACACAAGCTAAAAGAGAGGTAGACATTAAAAGGATAGTCGATCTTCTGCAACAAAGAAATTCACATTTCTTTCATTTCTAAGCTCTATAGATTGACACGAAAAAACTCTTTGGTATATCTCGTGCTACGATTTATCCTCTAATTTGATAAATGCATTTCGACATTAAACCCTTCCCTTTGGTTCTGTCCCTTTCTATAATGGAATCACAATTTTCTTATATTTGCATGTCAACTTCATTATTGCCCTTTATCATGAATATAAAATTTATGTCAATCATTTTCACTTTCATTAACATTAATAAATCATTTCCTCCTTTTAAACATGATCATATTTATTATTTCAAATCATACAACCCACCTCAAGTGGAGCATTAAATTTGTTTTAAATGGAGACTTTTTTTTCTTTCTTTTGGTTATTTATACATGTTGGGTGCATTGACTCCCGCTCAATTTTGATCTTCAAATCTTATATATATATTTATATATTTATGAGATTGTTTAATGCTCGTTATCTTATCCAAAACCTGTCATAATATATTTTTTTAGGTTGAAAAATAAAATTAAAATAAGAATTAATGTGAGAAGCGTGCATCTTACAAGTAGCTATTTTAGATCGAAGATATTAGGTCAAAGTCAATGTCTTACTACGTCTAACATACCTATAAACCAACCAACAAAATTAAGTCAATAAACCTTAAAATTGACATATTAGTAAATCATATACAAAGTCAAATAATACTAAACCGCCCCAACTAACACTATCGATAAACCCAAACTAACTTATATTAAAAAGAAAAAGTTAAATTATAAGTTTGGTCCTATTTGTTTTTAGGGTTCAATAAATCATCATAAATTGTACTCCTATTTGTTTTTAGGGTTCAATAAATCATCATAAATTGTACATACTATTAGAGATCAGTGACAAAAAGCCATTGTCCTATACTCGACTAGTTATAGTGTTACGACTCAGATTATTTATGAAGTTTGATCACAATTATCTTCACCTTGAATATTGATTCCTCTAAGTGTTCTAGCATAAAGAGACAGAACAGATAGAAAAACGACTCGAGGGTTTGTTCAAACATGTATTAACGTTGACTTTAACGACGAAAAATATGAGCCTAAGTCAGAAGAAAAAGAAGGATTGATAATGGGAAATGTTGCTGAGAATAATAAGCTAAATACAGCAGCCATAATTCTAAGCTACACTTCTTTTACACAGAATCAAGAATTTGAGCTTCTATGGAGCTATGTACCAGCAAGATCAAGCTGCCATGGCTGCTTGCTCGAGAGCAAACTATTTTTCCAGAGCTCAATCTCGCAATAAACTCGAAACCAGAACAAACCCGGTTAAAATAAGTATGAATAAACACTTCTTTTACACAGAATCAAGAAATTGAGCTTCTCTGGAGCTATGTACCAGCAAGATCATGCTGCCATGGCTGCTCACTCGAGAGCAAACTATTTTTTTCCAGAGCCCAATCTCACAATAAACTCGAAACCAGAACAAACCCGGTTAAAATAAGTATGAATAAACAAATTCATCAGCATGTTCTTGAGAGCCGCAAGTGAAGATCGATTCGACGCATCAGAGAAGCGGGGGAAGATAATGCACCATCCTCCATTTTCGTGTATTTCTCCCTTCTTGTCCAAATGACATAATCTTGAAGCTGTACCTATGCCGTCAATGGCTCTGCTTCTTTGGTTATTATACCTCTGATTCTTCTTGAACAGTTGGAAGAGTACCCTCTTTGATAAAGGTTGGATTAAGAAACTTAGCAACAAAAGCCCATAATCTGTAGACATCTTCGAAATTGGTCAAAAATCCCAGAGAAGCTGTCACGACTTCGACACACACGAACCCGCCCTTTTCACCATGCTTGCCATTTGCCATTGGTCTGCAGAGGGTAGTATCTTCTAGGTTCAAACTGGTCTTTTTGTGCCTTGGATTGTCGACTACGCGTATGTGACTAAGGAAACCGATTCCTAGAGATATACCTTCTTTTTCAGCCAGCTTCTGTACAATTTCTGGGTTGATTAGCCCCCTAACTTTGTCTCTCACGTTGAATGCCACGGCAGCACCCCTTTCGTATTTTATTTTCGGACCATAGATTTGAACAAGATTTGCTCTGCTACTTCCATTCGAATCAGGTAACCGAAGTTGTAGTAGCGACGTGACAAGCCAATTGATCAGAAACCTTAGTCTGAGAGTGGTCTTATTGAGACCCAACAAGTCGATATGATCAATATGACGGCATACTATCTCGGGTTCTCTCCTGGCCCACTCTTGCCCATCGCCATATTCGCCATCACTGGTACCTTCATCATCATCGAAGCTAGTAACAGAGGTTTCACCTGGCTCCATATTACAGCTCTGGTGCTCTTTACCATTTTCTTCAATGCCAAAAGAGACTCTTCTTCCCTTGTTCTGCACTTCAGATAATCTATCCCCTCGGCCTCCCAACAGCCTAAATTCACCTTCGGTTTCCCGTCTTATCGCACTCTCCTTAATCTCTGGACAGATCTCAGAAGTTAGACCATTCTCTAGGTTATGATGCTGTGAGCTAGAATTTGAATTGCCAAGACGAGATCTGACATCACAACTTGACATACCATTCGAAAGTGATTTGCTAGTTTCATCTAACTCCAACACGTCTGTACGTTCCGAACTCTTTTTCCCGCTCTGTGAAGCAGGGCTCGTTACTGAATCGAGCTCTTGAGAAACTGACATGACAGCAGCATCAAATGACAGAATATTTCTTTCATCAGCTGGCCTTGAATTTACTTCTTTGTCATCATAAAGCGGGCTGCTGTAAATTTTTGAAGTTGGTTTGGGTGATTGTCGCCTATTCTTTCGATATGCAAACCAATATGGGGGCAATGGGGAGGCGATTTCGTGTTTGTTGAAGCCAGCATTATCAGACCCAAGTGGACTGTGGCCTAAATCAATCCACAACGAGTTATCAGATGACTCGTCTTCACTGAATATCGGGCTCTTCATCACCTCTCCGACAGAAAAACTCTCTGTTTCCTCAAATATAGTGCTCGTACCATCTCTTTCAGAACTTTCATGATCCATCTCAGTTTCGAATACATCTCTAACCTGAGCAGATGTAAATGCGCCCGAGAAAGCAGGCAACTGAGATCTTTGCTGTGATTCAGAGGCTTTATCGACATTCTCAGAGACTCCATCATCTTCAATCCCAGCAAATCCATCAATACCATCAATTGAATCACTCAGGTACATAGGATATTCAGGAGTTATCTTCACAATTCCTGACCCTGTACTCCCAGAATGATTCTGTAAACTCGCCATTACGGATTTCTTGATTAGTAGACATCCGAAACCAGTAGGATCAAACCCGAAAACTCTGTAGAACGATGTAACAATAAAATCTGGCCGGAAAAGGGACAGTCCAAGCGAATCCATGTCTTTCGGACCCAAAGATCCAGCATCAAGCAGAACATGCCAGTTGTTCTGTTGTGCTAGAGCCATCCATTGATACGAGTACTTCGCCCCCGTCACTCTAGATTGAACAGGAAACACGAAAAGACCAGTAGCAGAGTCCTTCTTTCTCCTCTTATTTGAAATCTGTTTTCTCAAATCAGTGGAGCAGAGTTTCAGGGATGGCCATTTGAACCAGGCGCTATAAACTTTTGCACCTTTCTCTCTAGCACACTGAGCCATCCAATTCACAGATTCGCTCTCATAATCAAACATGGTCAACAATTTCTTGTTCGTATGAAAAGGATATGAATCAGCAAGCAATTTAAAAGCTGACCCTCTACTCACAGTAAACACAAGCCCATATTCATGCTCAGGAATGTTCAAATAATCCATGATCTTGACCTTAATATCATGTTCAACCGTCCCTTTTTCAGCACATCCATAAAGAGCATGGTTACTCAAATTTGCAGTAATCTCAGACAAGCTAAATGTGGAGGACTCCCAATAGTGCAGTGTTTGAACATAAGAAAAAAGTCCGAAGCCACAGTAATCGAGGCATACCTTTGAAGAAAGATGCGAGTACTCGTTGTACCTCAGCTGATCAATCTTCTCCGAGGACTGGAAATTCGGATACATCGAAAGGAACTTGGAGAAAGATTCATGGAGGTCAGGAATGTCGTCTTCAGACTCGAAAGCGCGCTCGGCGGCGAGTGCAGTGGCGCGTAGAAATTCTCGCTGTGCGTGGAGTCTGGCGAGCGAACGGGACTTGCCCAAGCCGCCGCCGCCGCCGTCCTGGTCCCCGATTGCGTCGGATTCGTCAATATCTTGCGATTTGAAGAGAGACCCATTTTCAGATGCTTCTTCAAGAGCTTCCCTAAGCTTGTCCTCTTGCAGTTTTCGAAGAATTGATAAGTTTTTCTTTGACTCATGTCCAGTGGCAGACCCATCTCTTCTTCGGCTCTTCTTGTCCATTAATAGAGCAGCAGCGCAATGTGACAGAATTTTCCATGGTGAAAGATGCATTTAAGCTGGTTTTCAAAAGGAAACCCAGAGAGATTAAGAATCAAAATCTTGGATCAGAAATAACAGCAATGGGGGGTGGGGGTCTAGCCCATCAAACTCGAAAAAGATTTGGGAAAAGAATCATTCAGCTTCGAACCCTAGACCCCCAAAAGGCAATCAGAAAGGATCTTGAAACAGATCAGAGAAATCCCATTTCAAAAAATACCTTACAGGACAATTCGATTACAAATTCAAAACCCCAGCTCTTACGAATTCAACTAAGCCATCGGACACAAATAGTTCATCGAATGGTAATTGACATTCTCTACATAAAAGTCAAGACAAAGACCAGAAATACCGAGGCGAGTCCCACAAAGAAACATTCAAAAAGGGTCAAAACCTAAAAACCCAGAATCCAGATCCTTTAATTTACACACAAAAAAGGCATTTCACAGACGAAATTTCACCAGTAATCAGAACAGAAATTCACAAGAAAACACCAAATAACCAGCAATAGTTCTTGGGTCAATCTTCCATTTCAGTAGCAGATTGAACCAGAAAAATACGAGCGATTCTTCACAAGAAATACTCTCCCATCAGAGCAGAAGAAGCGAAATGAAGACAAATGCTCTCTGTCTGACCTGATTCTTAAATCTTCTACGCTACCTCTCTCTTGGCAAACAGTAAGAAAGGACAATTTTGACTTTGATAAACAAAAGGGGTTTGATGATATTATAAAATATATTTATTTATAATTCGCTTGGGTTTATCTTCCAACTTATTATTCTTCAATCTGCCTCTGAAAGGCCTTTCACAGACCCAATTCCAAAAAGTCAACTTTTTTAGGCTGTTTCCCAAGTCCAACATCCCCTTCCCAACAAATCTCCATTTTAACTTCTTCCATTTTTTTAATATTCCCATCTTCCTTTGCTTCCAGCTTTTTAAAAATTTCTTTTTCTTAGTGGAAGGGAAGATTCCCATTTCCGTTTATTGCTTAATCATATGATTAGACTTCAATTAGTCATCATATCATATCCAACTCTAATCCAACTCTAATGTTATATTTCATGATGATGAGATTTGAATTATTTTTCGAAATCGATTTAAAAATTATGTTTTTATTGATGTCACAGCTTGTTAAGACATCTATCATTTTAACTTTTAAAACGATGTTTTTGTCCTCTATAACGAGGAGGAGCTATTAAAAAAAGTCTACATTATTGGCAATATTATTATATATTTAAAAATATATATATATTTATACTGTTTAAAGTCAGGAGATGATATTTACTTTTCAGGTTCACTACTTTCAAACCATAGGGGCTTTGACTGATTTTCATGAGCTTTTTGAACTTGGAATTTAAATTTAAATTAAATTTGTTTCTCTTTTGAAAATATATTTTAATTAAAAGAAGCTATATACACAATTTAACTTAATGCTTATTTAGGAAAAAAAATGTTATTTTACTAAAATTAGTAAAAGCTGTCTCCATGGTCTTTTAAATATGGATATAAATAAATTACCTAATGTAATTTAATTTTGTATTTAAATTTAGTTGCTTCATCATAATTCTAAAGATTGTGCTTATTGTATTTTTATTTTTATTTATTTGATATATTCAACGTTTTTAAAAATCAACAAATAGACTAATCGTAAATTTGAATTTTCAAATTTATTTCAAAACCATATTTGATGAATTTCTTAATAATTTGTTTATGATTTTGGAAGGAACGGCTGAATTTATAATTAAATAAAGAAGTTCGAGACTATAAACTTTTTTTTTGGTTTATTTATTTATATTTTTGTACTATTTTTAATTATTTTTTGTTTTGTTTTTAATATAATTACTAGGGTGTACATGATCAGAATTGAATTGAGTGGGAGGATTTTTTTGACCTGACCATTTGGGTTGGATGGATCAATGACCCAATCCAAAAAAATTTCTAACCCAACCCAACCGAAATGTTTATTTAATAAACATGAAAAACTATTGTAATTTAAGTTTATAAATAATTATTCATTTTGTTTCCTAAATCTTTTTTTTATTTTTTATTTTTTATTTTTTATTTTATTTTGTTTTTTTATAGCATCACCACGGCCCGTTTTCCCCCTTCCGTTCCTCCATACATCATCTCTAGCTATACTAGAGCCCGTGCCGGCACGCTCTCTCCGCTGCAGTCATCCGCCGGCACGCTTCCATCGGCGTAGCCCTACTATTTATTTCTGTTTCTTCTCCGTTGAACGGCGCCGGCACGCCGCCCCTTTTCTGTTGCAGCCGCACGAAAGCAAAAACCTATTAGACTAAAATGTATAATTTAACCAACCTTGGCCTTTTATAATTGGCGGCATTTGTACGAAAGCAAATTGGGTATCCCCGCTGAATCAACGCGCGCCATTGTTCGCAGAACAAAAGCTTGCATCTTTCGTTTCTCTCAGAGCCCTTCACTCATCACAGGTAAGGTTCATACTGCTAATTTCCGTTTGACGCTACTTGAAATAGAAGATTCCAGCTCTTTCTTTACTTTCTCTCTAGACATTGAATCTGTATAGAGGCTGCTGTGACTTGACAGTATAACTGCCTGGTGGAGATACTGAGGTTTCTGAGTAGCCATGGCCGATTTCCAGACCTCGACTCAACGAGCCAAATGGATCTTGAGTCCTCACGAGCTGGTACTTTTCCCTTCCTGTTTTCCCCCTGGCGGTTTGGGAAAAGATAGTTACTATTTCTGCCGCGTAATATTCTTGCTGGGTTCTGATCAAAAGAACTTCGAGTAATCTTAGAATCAATTCTTTGAGATATTAATTTACAATTAGGCTGGTAGTCCTTTATCTCATTTGCGCCCTTTCAATTTCCACGATATGTAATCTCATTTGAGGATATTCCGTTTCTTTAGATTGTTTTATGAAGGAACTGAAGTTTCTTACTTCTACGGTACTTTTGCGAAGTGTATAGTCATATTATCAATTGCTTTAGTTGGACGCATTAGTTTTTTTTTGGTTATTTGTTCTATGACAACTTTCGAGCGAACTTCATTCATAAATTTGCTAGACGATTGTTGGCTTTTGAGGGGTTTCACTTGTATTTAGGACTTGAAGAAGAGTCAATTGTGTATCTAAAGTATGAACACGATTCATATATTGTACAGGTTGGCAGGTACAAAGCTGCTAACCAGAGAGCAATTGAAGCTCTGGAGAAGGTATGAATAGAATGAGATGATACTTCAATCAGTTTTGTCTACTGTACTAATTTTTATTTTTATTTGAAAGAGCAGTTTTCTCATGCTTCATTTCTTCCCAAAACTCCAAATTGCTGACGGCAATTCCCTTCTTCACTAAATGTGTTTAATTAAAGTATTTGGCGTCTGCTTTTATGAGTTTTAATATTACTATCTCTGCCAGCTAACTATCCTCTTGGTCTAGTTTGGAGCAACACTGATGGTGGTAGATGCTGACGGATCATTGTCCTATCCAGACCCTCTGATAAATTCAAAAGAAAATGGTAACTACTCTTCTGCTGCTCTTTTGCAGGAGCTTAAAACTATAACTCTAGCATTAAGTCTTAATGTATAATTACCAACTCTTGGTATGATCGTTTATTTTAATGTCAGCTGACAAACATTCCCGCCCCAAACCTTTGAGTATTGAAGAAGAGCAATTTATGCGAGTATTTTACGAGAACAAACTTCAAGAAGTATGCAACAATTTTCATTTTCCTCATAAAATCCAGGTATTCAAATAAGATAAGCTGATTGAATGATCCATTTTTCTTTTCACATAAAAAGTCTAATATATTTCAAATATTGAAATTTTTGTTTATATAAATCCCACTTTTATGTTTTTCCTTAGTTTTGTTTACTCTTTGCAGGCAACGGCTCTTATATATTTTAAGAGATTCTACTTACAATGGTCTGTGATGCAACATAATCCCAAAAATGTGATGTAAGAGTTTAGATGCACATGTGCCTTATGCGTTTGAAGTTTCCCTTATTCAATGTGTTACAACTTGCTATTTGACTTCGCAAAAAATCATTTAGAGGTATGAATGTAATTAAAATGCTTAGCGCTAGAGAAATTGATTGGATGTTGGATGCCCATTTGTAAACTCTTCGTCTTAGGAAGTGTTGCTTCTGCAAATTGTTTCTCTCTCATTGCCACTTATTATCATCATACAAACTCTAGAGTACTTTCGGGATGTAGCTAACCTTCTCCTGCCCAGGTTGACTTGCATTTATGCAGCTTGTAAGATAGAAGAAAATCATGTCTCAGCTGAGGAGCTTGGCAAGGGGATTTCACAGGATCATCAAATTATTCTCAATTATGAGATGATAGTTTATCAGGCATGGATGTGTCTCATAACTTGTTCTTATCTCGCTCACTTCATTACTTTGGTTCCCCCCTCTATTCTCCCCACCATTTATATATATTTTCTCTTCTCTTATTTCTTTTTCTGTTTTCTAGAGTCTGGAATTTGATCTTATTGTTTATGCACCTTACCGATCAGTTGAAGGCTATGTACATGATATGGAGGTAAGTATGGTCTTATTTGATATTATTATTATTATGTGGATTTTCTAAGCAATGCTGAAACAAAATACATCTATTTTTTCTAGGGCATTCTTTACCTTCTTATAACGTTGGTTAAATTTTTTTGTCTTTCATTGTTGTTCCACTTGGTGATAAATGGTGCATGTTTTCAGGAAGTCTTCCATGAGAATGCTGAAAGGCTTCAAATGCTGAAGGTAATTGCTTATTCAATGTAGTTGATATACTGTAGTATGAGTATATCCCTCTTCAAGTTTTTGTGGTCATTCTGTTTTGCCATGTACTGTAATATGAGTATGTCCGCCCTTATAGTTTTTGTGGTCAATCTGTTTAGCAATATACTGTAGTATGAGTATGTCTGCTCTTCTAGTTTTTGTGGTAAATCTGTTTAGCAATATACTGATTTTAAATTTGTGAAATTTCCTTGCATGGAGACACAAATCATCTCTTGTCTATTTGATGCTAATTTTAGTGTTGGTCAAATTTTTTGGTGCTTTCTTCTGAACATTATGTCAATTGGTCAATGTGATCAAAGAAATCTTTGCATGTGTTGACAAAATGCATTGACCAACCAATTAAAACAAGGGGCAGCTAGGAGTCAAGCCCCTAAAACAGCACCTAGCGAGAGTAATTTTTCTATGTTCTTAAAAATAACCTTAAACTTTTTCAACTTCAATTGTTGTAAGGTATGCTGGTATTCTTTAGGATTGTCAGAAGCAGGTGTAGGAACTGAATAGGGAGATGAGAAGTGTTTTTTGATAGATCTACCCTCTTTTATAGGCCACAATTTTTTATTGAGGAGTTCATTTTCCATCCCCTTTTTCGTTAGAAGGGAAGGTTTTTGTGGCAGGTGGAGATTTGTATGGTTTTATGGGGTTTGGGGGGTGAAAAAAACAATAGTCTATAAAGAGGTCGAGAGAGTTCGTAGTGAGGTTTGATCCACCACTAGGTTCTATGTTACTCCTTTGTAATTATCTGCTTGGTCTTATTTTACTTGATTGAAACTCTAGTTGATTGGATGCTCTTGTATTCTTTCATTTTTCTGTCAATAGAAGTTCAGTTTCTTATAAAAAAAAATGTGAAAGTTGCACTTGTATGTTCTCATAACATAGTTTTTCTTTTTTTAGTTCGAACAAGGGTTGGGGTAGAACTTCTAACGTCTAGCCTTTTGTAGAGTTTATTATGCCTTGTTAACTAGTTGACCTATGTTTGCCCTGGTTGACATACTTTTATCGCTGTTACGCTGAGGAAAAGTCCATGTTTTTCTCCTGTTTCTTCTTTTTAAGCTTTATTTGATATTTTTTTATTACTTGCATCATGTACTTTCAACAGAATTATCTAATTGTAATTTTCATTAAATTTTGCTCTTTATTTAAAAATTTTAATTTTGTGTTGATTTTGCTTGTGAATTCTGCAGGAAACAGCATCGTTAGAGGTTGATAAAATTATGTTAACAGATGGCCCACTTCTCTTCCCTCCTGGGCAGGTGCTTATTTTCTATTACACTTCCTGTAAGGAATTTACTACTTTAGGACTTGAAACTTTCTACGTTGATCTTCAAGTATCCTGGTGCAATAATTGAATTTATTTCAGGATTGAGCTTAAACTTTTGAGTTTACCCTTGACTAATAATTCTTCAGTGGAAAGTGGAGGGTGGAATGCTGGGTTATATGCATACATTAGGAAAGTGGAGGGTGGAAGGCTGCTGTGTGTGTGTGTAGTGGGTGGGTGGATGGGGGGGGGGGGGG